ACATACATAGCATGAGGAGTAAACCTAGGGCCTTGCACAAACTAAGCACATATTCTACCACTGAGCAACACTCCCAGCCCTTGAAACTTTCTAATCTTCTCCCACAACCCCGATTCCAAATAATTTGATCTCTTAGGTGTTATATTTTGGCATATTTGTTTTTTGCTTTTGCAGAACTGGGACTTGAATTGAGGAGCAGCAGACCACTAATTTATACCTGCAGACCTTGTTATTTCTTATTTTGGGACAGGGTCTCACTAAGTTGGCCAGGCTGGTCTTTAACTTGTGATCCTGTAGAATAGATGGGATGTTGTAATCCTTTTCATATAGGCCCTGAAAAAGATTCTTTTGCTGTTCAAAGGCAACATTGTTTTCCTAAGATCACTACTTTATCATTGTTTTTAATGGGAGCATATATGATGATTAAGCCCACTCAATAAGAACTTTTTTTGTTTTGGTATTTTCAGATTAACTATCAGAATTAATACAAGGATACTATACAGGTATATTTCTGGGATGAATCCTCAAACTTGTGCTTCCTTCTTCAGGCTTTTCTCATTTTGTTCTTTTGAATGGCTCCTCATCATCTCTTCAGGTCTCAGCTTAAATGCTGTACTCACAGAGGCTTGGCCTGACTACCCAATCTTATTTATTTAAAAAAATTTTTTTTGTAGTTGTAGATGAATAGTATGCCTTTATTTTGTTTTTATTTTTATGTGGTGCTGAGCATAGAATCCAGTGCCTCATGTATGCCAGGCAAGCACTCTGCCACTGAGCTATAGTCCCAGCCCCCAATCTAATTAATTGGGCTCCTACACCCTTAGTCTCTCTTATAGATTCTGTTACTTTTCTTCATACCATTTTTATAGGTCATATATTTGCATTCACTCATTTAGTTCTATTTCTCTAAAATGTAAGGTTCCCAAGGGCAGGGACCTTGTTCATTTTGTTCACTTTTTTATTTCTCAGCTCCTTGAACAATCCTTTACATGTAGTGGATACTCCATAAACATTTGTTGACTGAATGAGTATTTCTTTGATTGTTTCACTTATGCTTGTTCTATCACATTTTAGCACTGTTACTCCCAAGGGGTGAGGAGAAAATTACAATGCCCCTTCCTTCCATCACTGGGTACTGAGGATAGCAAATTCTGCTCATTTGCTAAGAAGCTACTGGCTTCTCTTGGGAAACTGTCAAAGACCCAAAGGTGCACAATTATTCTACTAGTAACAGCGTGACTGAGGCAATCAAGAGAGCTGTCAGAAAAGGTTTTAAAGTTACATTCATTGGATTCTTGGGCACCCCAAACTGTAAAACACTAGTAAATTACAGAATAAGCAGAATGCTGAAGTTTATTTAAAAATTTGCATAACGAACCAAGGCATCTTACACCATCTGTAATTCAGATGTACACAGTCTTCGCTCCAGGAAGCTGAGTTCCTGCAGCAACCTATCTGCCCAATGGGGGGCGGCAGCATCTTAGTAACTCACTCCCTGAAGATGTGTAGGTGGGAGGAGAGATTCGCGTTCAAAATCTTTTTGACTCTACCCACATTCCGTAGCGCCTTAGCCCGCTCGAGTTTCAATGCGCGTTGTTGCTGGACGAAGCGGAGTCCTATACACCGCCCGCTGCTCTCCTGATCATGGCTTCTCCGAGTTCCTTCACCTACTATTGCCCTCCATCTTCTTCCCCTGTCTGGTCAGAACCGCTGTACAGTCTGAGGCCCGAGCACGCGCGGGAGCGGTTGCAGGACGATTCGGTGGAAACAGTCACGTCCATAGAACAGGTGAGGTGGCAGGACAGGGCGAGGCGCCCGCGCGGGGCCTTCTGGGAGCGGCAGTCCCATCCGCCGGGCTGCCGGGGTGCGGAACTCAGCGCGGAACTACGCCTCCCACAGTGCACCGCGGCGCCCTCTCTGGCATGCTCTGGGCGCCCAGGCTGGGGCTTCCGAGTGCAGCGTTTGTGGGGCCGTATTGGGTAGGGGTCCTTGTCGGAGCTGAGGTTGGGAGAGAGGATGGGCCCAGGTCTTCTCTGCCTCAGAGAGCAGAGAGAACCTGTTCTGTGCCTGGAGCCCTGAACAGCTCGGGCGGATCAGTCAGTCCACTTCATTCTGCTGGGACGTCGGGAGGTTCAGGGACAGTGCACTTTCCTCCACTTGCTTGCAATTTCGGGACGCCAAGAGGACCGAACGGCCAGACTCCGTTCAGGCCATCCCATAATCTGTTGATTTCTGACAGCCGTGCCAGGTTCGGGCCTGCCTCGTGATGGGCATTTTGGTGGCTATTTGGGCACCAGTAATGTACATGTTGGACACAATATTAAACGCTGGAAGTACAGAGAAATAAAACAGTTTTTGACCAGGAACCTGGTTGGGAAGACAGGCAGGAAAACAACAGTTTGGAAGGTGCAAAAGTAAAATACGAATTTTGAAGTATTTTTCATTCACTAAGGCCTAGAGATAGAATCGAAACTTATCATTTTGAAAAGTGGGAAACTGTAGTGAACTACAGTTTCATTTTTTTTCTCATTCCCAAACTGGAATTGTTCCCAAATTTGTTGTTGTAGAGCTGTTTAACCATCTGTTACTAGGAGGAGTGGTCAGGATGATTCTTTTTAGCACTAACAAATAAACATCCTGCTGCTTACTAAAATAAGATATCTTAGTAAGATCAGTCCCCACGCTTATTAATCTTGAAGGGAACTGCTTTGTTTTTCATACCTGAATCTGGGTGCCTCTATGTAGGCAAAATTAGTAGCAGTAATTATTTTACTGTACTGTTAGGACTTTATATATAATTATACATTTATAACAAAACAAGGGCTTGAATGCATGGTTATATGTTTAGTAGCGGAGGGAATATTTCATGCTTTATGAGTTTAATGAATAGTAAAGGAAACCCTTACCTTTTAAACGTAGCTCCTCAGGTTAGTTAGTTCACCAGTGTATCCTACAAAAGTCTTTTGCAAAGGAGCACAAAGACATCTCCCATCAGGGAAAAACCTACAGGATCTTTGCAGTGTTCCTAAGTGATGAATTGTTGAGTTGATTCAGGACAATTCTGTTTTCTTTTGATTTGACTTTAGACTATGAGATTATCTTTTCTTTTTCTTTTTTGGCCTTCTCATCCCTGATGTTATTCTTTATGTATGAATTGACCTAGAAGATAAGCTAGGGGAGAAAAGGAAATCAGAAGTTGGTCTGTTAATTAAGAGGCCAATATAGAGACTTCTATGGGTTGAGAAGCAAATTAAAAACAGGGACATGATAAGGAGTAAATTAAAAACAGGGACATGATAAGGAGTTTTTCTGATCTGCTCTTTCTCTGTTTTATATACTGCTACACCCCATTCCCCCCTCGTAAATTGCTGAAGTTCCTACCTGCTTAGTCCTCCGTGGAAAACACCAACAAAAATAAGCAGGAAAACAGTAGACACAATGAGCAATGCAAAAATGGATTTAAGGTCCTTCATCTTCAAAGGACTAGGCCAAGGCCAGGGCTGAGAAAGGATGCTAGGTCCTGATATGTTATTATAGAGCATCTTTCAGACATGGGCCCAAAGATATGATAGGTAGTACAGCATCTTATATTTCTTTTCCATGTCAAAATTAGCTCACATTTTAGGTTTTAGATGATTAGTTGCAGTTAGTAGAAAGAAATGTGATATCTCATTCTGTGGCTTTCTCAGTGTTTTAATAATCATGATAGCAACCATTTATTTGGTCCCAGCACTGTAATAAATGTTCTCTGTACATTGTATCATTCATTGCAGATGAGAATACTGAGGTTAGAGAAGTACCAGATTGGTAAGTTAATGATGATTCATTCATCAGAAACAGCAACCTTGTTAGGGTATCCTACCGTTGTTTACAGAGGATGCTCTTATTCTTTTGGTTTTGACCGAAGCCTCCATATATTCACATGGATTTACTGACTGCTCAGTTTTGTGCCATTGTTAAAAAAAAAAAAAAAAAATGCTGGGCTGGGGTTGTGGCTCAGTGGTAGGGCACTTGCCTAGCACATTCAAGGGCCTGGGTTCTATCCTCAGACCACATAAAAATAAATAAATTATGTTCAACTACAACTAAAAAAAAAAATGTTTAAAACACAAAAAAACGAATGTTTGTCATTTCCTTTCTGATTATCAGGAGACTTATTTATTTGGAAGAACCTTTTGCTGAGGGTCCTCTGTTCCATTCATTTTTTAAAAAATATTTTTTTAGTTGTAAATGATTTTTTTATTCTATTTATTTATTCATATGTGGTGCTGAGGATCAAACCCAGGGCTTCACACATGCCAGACAAGTGCTCTACCACTGAGCCACAATTCCAGCCCCTCTATTCATTCTTTTAACGAATATTTGATGGACTTTTATGTGTTAGGCTCTGTTCTAGGCACTAGGCATAAGTCAGTGAACAGAGGAGATTGATTTGATGTTTTTAGGAAACTTGTTCCAGGTCAGGGAGGTATCAGCTAAAGAAAAAAATATAGGTCTGGAGGTGTAATTTAGTGGTAGAGTGCTTCCCTGGCATGCATGAGGCCCTGGGCTAATCCCCAACTTTACCACCACAAAATTAATTAATTAGTTTATTTTAAAAATAATAATAAATAATTAGACATACTGTGGAGATCAATAAGGAGGAAAACAAAAGGTGTTCTTGGAATGGTGAAAGATAAAACTGATGTTACATTTGAACTGAGACCTGAAGTACATGAGGGAAATAAATTATGCATGGATCTGGCAGAAGAATCTTCTGAGGAGAGAGCAGCAAGTGCAAAAGTCCCGAGGCAGGAGAGAGCAAGAGAGGAGATGGGGTAGCACAGAACCTGATGGGCTGTTTATAAGTATTTTAAAACTGGAAAACCACTTGGCTAGATAGTGTTTATTTATCTCCTAGATTCACTCGGTGCTTTTCCATGCAGCTCCTGGGGTACATCAGATTCCCTTGCCTAGTGCTGCTGGTTGTTTTGGGACATGGAAATATTGCTAGGAGGTGAGAAAGAGGGAGAAGAATACAGTGTATTTCTTCTCTCCTGCAGGGTTGTGTGGGCTAGAGTTTCTCTAGACTGAAGGTCACATCTCTCAGATATCTTTTCCGTAGAGCTCCCTGTCTCCCTTTCCACTCCTTTCCTTCACACCTTCAGGTCTAGAAGGGTTCAAGTGCCCTGGAGTTCCCCCGCTCCAGATGTTGTATTCGCCTTTGTGGGTTCTCTACATCTGCCCACACCTTTTTAAATAGTTCCTATGTAAACTCTCCTGGATTCACCTACTTTGTGCCATCTGTTTCCTGCCAGGACTCGATGATCCATGATCAGAGCAGATAGTGGGGAGGCGAGGGTGGATGCGGGGAAACCAGTTAGGAGGCTATTGCAATATCCTGGGTGAGGTGATGACAGCTTAGCTCACAGTGACGGTCATGGAGGTAATGAGGAATGGTAGTTTTTGACTGTATCTCCCTTGACAAGTGTTTTGTGGTGGATATGATGCAGGGAGGGCCTTTCATGATTCCAGAAACAAGATGCGTTATGTTAGAGCTTGCCTTCTCTATTGTGCATCTGGAGTCACCCCATTGCAAACACTGATTCAGGCCAGTAGGTTAATGCTGGTAGTCTCCGAGATAGCAGTCTTGCCAAGATGGTTGTTTACAATAGACACTACTCCTGTTTTTCTTTTAGTTTGCCCTTGAACAGGGGCCAAACCTTCCTCCACTTGAAATGACACAATGTCATTAGACAGCATTTAGTCAAGTGACAATCAACTCTGAGGAGACAATAAAAGAGTTATTAGTCTTGGTTCCTATTCTCAAACTTTTTTTCTCTCAGGAAAAAAAGGATGCCTGAATCAATTACAGAGTGCTGGTTATTACTGCATTGCCTGGGAAATGGAAGAGCGCTCTGTGGCCTGAGAAGATTGGGATGACTTTGTGGAGAATGTGGAACTGTGGTTGGGCACTACAGGGTGGAGTTGGGGGAACCATTCCATTAGAATGACCCCGTATCGGGGAAGACTCAGACTTGACTGGGGCACAACAAGGATGACGGCCTACCCAGATGGAGGGTGCAGGCCAGATATGGTAGGAAATGAGGCACGCTGGAGGGGTGTTGAGAGCAGGTTGGTTTCAAGTGGTGGGCAGTAGGCTATCTTGGCCAAGGATCAGAAAGTTCCAGGAGAGAATCCTTGATTCCTGCTGTATACTTGCCCCATGGTGTAGTCTCTGCAAGATTAGTAAATGGAGATGGAACAATTTACTCAATATTGTTGGGAAAACATATAACAGCAGCAGCACCCCAGAAAAAAAAAAACCCCAACATGGTGTCTAACGACCCTCTTTCCCTCTTTGTTTCTTTCACTGGCGAAACGTTCCCACTGGCACCAATGTTCAAACCCTGCTGGTGGGAAGCCTTAGCCCCAATTAGAATTAACTTCTTGGGCTCCGGAACTGACATGGAAGAGCTTGCCAATAAATGGGCGACCTGTTATCTACCTCAGCCCTGCTACCTCTCCTTAGACCTATGTAAACACACAGCCTTTTGTAATAAAGTGGAACCTCTTCGGTGATCTGTGTCGTGTGGTGTGGCGTCTTCCAGTCTTACAAATATGATTAAACTTCCCAGTTTTTTTATGCCTCTGATAGAAGAAACTAGATCTTGGCTTGGTGAAGTGCTCATTAGGCTAGCTATGTGAATCAATTTAATTTAATTTTATTTAAAAAAATTTTTTTAGTTGTAGATAAACACAATTCCTTTATTTTGTTTATTTATTTTTATGTGGTACTGAGGATCAAA